AAACAGTTCATATCATTGCACTTATATTTTGTTGGGTTATTTTTGTGTCCTTGAAGGCAAGAAGGAAAAGACGAAACAGTTCATATCATTGCACTCACCCACATCCCTAGACTTCATAGATTCCAATAGCTCCAGTGACATCTTACCAGCAGATTCACTACGTGTTGTCAAGTCTAAAGGAAAATAGGAAAATAATACTGATCAGCAATGTCAGCTGCAGCAAGAAGAGCATGAAGAACCACCATTCACCACCATCACCACCACCACCAACACCATTACAACCACCAATATATGTAACTATCAGGTCAGGGGCGGATCCAGGGGATGTCCCTCTATATACATTCTTCATTTTAGATTCCCCCTAGTCTCCTATGCGCCGCTATCAGTTAACACCAAAGCAACATCATCATCATCGACGCTGCTAAAAACAATGACGATCAAGGAGTGCAGACCTCCCTAAAACGTATGGGGGGGGGGGGGGGGGGGGGGGGAACAATGCACAACATAAGCGACTAGTTTGGGAAAAGGGAAAAAATGGGGCCCCCTTATAGGCCCCCGTCTCCGCGGTCCCTGATGGTGACAAGCAACATCATTGCAAAACAAGTACAACGATATGATGTGATGATGACCAACGATACTAAGATAAGGAAAACTAGTTATAAATAAGCAAAAATGAAAAATATTCTTTATCAAGGATTAGGACAACAATAGCACCATGAAGATTTCCAACAACAACAACATTGTCGACAAAAGGATGTAAATCCAACACCAGCAACAATTACAGTCACAACAACATTAGCGTCACCAACACCAACATCACCACTAATAACGATCACCGCAATAAAAAATTTCCCACACAACATTTTTCTTGGTGTCAAACCTTGTGCTTCTTGTGATGGTGCCATGTGGGACGTGGCTTTTGCGTTGATTAAACAGTCACTGAGATGATACGAATAGGATGAGATGAACGATACGAGTGGTAGAAAATCTATAAAAAAAGCAAAATATAAGGCAATAGCAGATGCTTGCAAATGAAATGCGAAAGAGACAACAAGCATTGTATCGACCCGTTTGCCTCATTTGTGTGATTCTTTAAACATAACAATCTCTCTTTAGGTGCTCAACTGTAACAACAGCTGCCATACAGTAAAATTCCAACTTATTAGTTAGGGGTAACTAAAGAAACTTCGCGAGGGGCTTTTCCTACATCACTGACCTTCAGAATTGGACTGGTACGTCTTGAAACTTGTTGTAACTTTGTCTAGGTGATCACTGATGCCCTCAAGCCGGCTGATCAGGTATTCTGAAAGGATGGAATAATGACGTGAAGTAAGTTTGGTGGACATAGAAGTTACCTTTTCAAGAAAAACGCACGTTCTTGGGGTTAATGATACAATGACTTGCAAGAGGGGGAATGTGGTACTCAATAGAAAAAATGGATGGATGGATGGGTGGATGGATGGATGGATGGATGGGTGGAGGGAGGGGTGGGTGTGTGGATGGATGGATGGATGGATGGACGGATGGAAGAATGGATGGGTGGATACAGGATGGATTAGTAGATGGGTGGGATTGATAGATTCATTGATGGGATGGATCAATGGGATGGATGAATAGGATGTGTGGATAGATGAACATTATCTAACTTGTGCAGACTTGCAGTATTGATTGAATGGGGTGTGGCTCCTACCATCCTACCACACATTATACCCACCTGCTGTACATGTGGTTGAACTATGATGTGGATTATCAAACTGGTCGAGTGAGTCTTGAATAATCTTCTCCGCATCATCGATGCACAAAACTAGAACACAATTACAACCATAAGAATAGAGGCTTTGCACCATCACGTGATGGCAGCCATGACAGAGAGTCTTTTCCCCCTGGGAAACTAAATAGTTTCTAATGTAAATCAGATTAGACCAGATTCAATTGTTCCTGCCTCCTCCTGTCATGTCTGCCATCACATGATGGTGCAAAGCTTCTATAGGTTTAATGATGTAACAAGCACAGACATAATAATGATGCCCTTCTTCTGAGGCTTCGTGCACTGCACAAAGACTTCTCCTGATTTGCACTTTCCCTCCAATAATTCGTCTTGCTGCAATGTTTACCCATAACAGACCACAAGATTCTTTGTTTGAGTTAAAACCGTATTCATTCGACTTCTCATGTGCAACCGTTAAACAAAGAAATGATACTCTGGGGAATGACACATGGTCTGAAATGGGTAAACAGGTTTTTAATGTTATATCGATATTCGAGTGCTTACTACAGTACCTACAATATCTTGATTACTCTTCATTCTATTCTCCTGAGTCTTCCTCTCTCGTTCGGCAATCTAATAGGTCAAAATTGTTAGCTTTGATTTAAAAAATTGCCAGTATATCTTGGAAAGAATTAAGTACTCATACCTGGTGGTAGTCAACTTGTCAAATACTAAAGAATTTGTTTTTGTTTTAACTAGTGACATTTGCAAATATTTTAGCCATATTTACAACTAAAATTGTTTATAGTTTGGGCACAGGGACTACGGGGACAGAGGGGTGGACAAAATGCACTAACTTTTCAAATTTTAGTCCCTGGACCCTCCCCCAGACCAAACCCCCATCCCATACCCACAGCACATGATTAATCTTATACATTCTAGACTACTGTATTATTAAATCTAAGGCCCCCTTCTTTTAGAGATGTACATTGGTCTTCGTACACTTGATCCATAATGGACGTGTAATGTGTAGTTCCAAAAAATATCCATA